GATATGGGAAGGAGAAGAAATCGATGGCTCGGAGATCAAATCGACTTGACCCATACCATTACACCTCTACTCCCTTTGGTTTTAGAGGGCAGAACAGGTTCATGCAGATCCTCAGCACATACTCGCGAGAGCACAGGATCGTCACAGAATGGAAAAACCAGCGCATCTGGAATGGAGCTGCACCAACGAACAGTGGAGTACAGCTGTAGACACATGTTATCAATGTGGGCGTTTCGGACATTTCGCAAGAGAGTGCGATTTCCCGAGAAGTTTCAAATGAAGAATCCAACGCTATCATCCTAGATAAAATTCGCACGAAAGCGAGATTTCGGTTACCCTGAATATTTTTTCGTTTTAGAGGAAATTACTGGAGGAGTGTCCTCTTCCAAGTCATCTGGAAACTTTTTCTTGGCTCACAGAAATTATCAGAGAGTCCACAGCAGTACATAAAAAGTTTGCTTAAGGTCAGATTCAATCTATCCTCTGTCCAAAAGCTATTTTATACGTAACAATGCTCAGAGTGACCGCATAAATCCGCTGTCATTAGTGGATGCTGAGAAGCTTCGCCTAATTCTGTACTTGTCAAATTTGAACAAGTATTTGAACAAGTATTTGGAAAACGACGTGTCATGGCTTCATGGCCGGTTTTGACTCGCGTAAGGATATCATCATGTTCTGATTCGAGAGTTTTCAGGAAGACGTTGTTTCCAGTAACATCGGCGCCATACATTTCCACTAGGTTTCTAACACCTATTGTAGCGAGATGGAGGATTTTATTGGACAGGTGCGGCTACCGGTCTAGAAGACGGATTAATTTGTACTCTTCCAGCGACCGAGTCCGTAATTTTTCTGCCTTTGGAAGGGACCTAAGATATGCAAAGTTTTTTCATCGTGAAGGAAAAGTGCAGTCGGCAGCTATGCCAGAAATGACCTGGTTAGGTCAAAGAGTGAAGATCAGGGGCTTGGTTATCAGGCAACGATTAGCGCCTACTTTGACCATAGCAGTTATAAGGCAACGGTCAGCGCCTACTTTGGCCATAGCCTTTATGTCCAAAATAGAAGCGCCCGTTTTAGAACACCGCCCCTTGCTCTACAGTCGCTATGTTGATGACTGCTTTGTGATCTGCTCTACGCAGGAAGAGAGTGATGGCGCGGTAGACGTGGCGGTGATTCGCTCGACGGAGAAGTCCCCTTCATTCACCCTACGTTTCTGAAGAAGTCAGCAATTTCATCAGGAAGTATCTGAGGAGGGCTGGCTTGGAGAGCCCAGAGGCTATTGTAAATGTGTCTGAAACGCCGCCTGGTGAGAAATCATCTATATGATTGTGTATGTATCTCTAATTGTAGAGTCTGTCCGACTGGCAACTATGCCGGGGTGGTATAAAGATTGCCTTTTGTATTATGGGGATGAGTACATCGATGAAACATCGCGGCTGATCAACGCGAGGGTGAAGGAGCACCCGGACGGCAAGAGCAGGTCACGTTTGTCTACTGCCTTAGAGACCAAAAGGGTTCAAATTCACGGCGGAGACGGAGTCGAGCTCAGGATCTTGGCATGAGGGGAATGCGTCACTATAATGCGGGAGGTGAGACTTTATATGAGCGCGGCCTTCCAAGTGACTCTGGATGAGGAACAGTCCGAAGCGGTCCTACTTCTCGAAGATCGGAGTGTGTTGCGGTGAGTGCCCTCTGACGATTAGGTGATGAGCAGTAATGACCTCGGAGTTCGGTAGGGTGGTGGAGACGTTTGGTCAGGTAGTCATAA